AAACTGTCCTTGCTTCTTACCATATCCCCCCCCCCCGAAAAAATATCCTGGCTACGGCCTTGCCGGAAAGGGTTTATTCAATTAACAAAACAATAATGAAGATAAATAAATTTGTGAAGGGCCCGATTAAAAGATAAATTATTTTGTGAAGGTTCCGTTAACGGACCCAGCTTTCTTCCAAACAGACAGCTGATAACGTTACACTAAAATCATATTTAAAGTGCTTACATTTTTGAATTTTAGAAACTTTTAATTTCTTAATTTAAACATAAAATTTTCAAAAAATTCAAAATACGTATTTTTTTTTGCAGAAAAAATTTCTTTCACAGTTATGAATACGAATAGACTGACTGAATTTTTTTTTACATTAATCATTTAAAGCTTATGACTAAAGCTTTTTTTTTCGAACGTAAAATGAAAATACTCATTAACATATTTCGAATTTTTAAACTTGAAAATTATTAGATGACATGCTTTGTAATATACCACATTTCCTGTATTTCACACTTAGAGCAAAAAAAGCACTTTCTTTAGATTTTGTATTTGAGCTCATATATCAAATTATATCTAAATATTTTATTTTAATCGTCGTTGAACAGCCGACCCAATTTTCGGGTTTACGACAACTAATCTTACTCAATAGCCTCTTAATTTTGAACCCAATCCAGAAGACAAGGAAACTCCTGGATCAAGTATTGGGAGACGTTTGTCTTCGTGGAGGTCTTTTTGATGGAACCAACCCGCAATTGAGTTACATGGAGAGGAAAACTACGAAAACCTCCCACAGTTAGTCTGACGGCAAGGGGACCTTAACCCATGATTCGTCTAACACTGAGGATATTTAATGTCAGCACTGTGGTCAGTGCAAACCGGGTGCGGAATTCGTATCATAATATTGAGTAAGTTCGTAGCAGCAATTCCTTTTAAAAATAGCGTAAGGGTTTAAATGTGTCGCAATAGCTCAGGGGATAGAGCGCTCACCGTCGAATGAGGTGAACCGGGTTCGAATCCCAGCGAAGGCTGGTCGATACGAATTCTGTATCCGGCTTACACTGTCCACAGTGCTGACGTGAAATAGCCTTTGTGGTAGACAGTTCATGGGTAAGAGTCCCCTTGTGGTGAGACTAAGCATGGGAGGTTCTCGTGGTCTTCCTCTCCGTGTAAAGCAAATGCCGATTAGTTCCATCAAAAAGTTTTCCAAGAAGGCAAATTTCTCCCAATACTTGATCTCTTGTCTCCCGGATTGGGTTCAAAATTGCAAGGCTACGTTGTTGAACAATAGCAGTCATAAATCCAAAAAAGAAAAAGTGGGTCGGCTGTTCAACGACGGTTATAGGATAAAAAAAAAAAAAAAGATTTAAATGAGTGCGCTGAACTGAACTCAAACAACATCGCGAGCTAAGTGTGGAAGTCACTATTATAAACTTTGTCTGTCTGAAAACCTCCTTGGTTGAGGAACGCCCATACTTTTAATAAAGATAAATTCCCCTAGTATCAAAAGATCGTCCTAGTTGAAATAATATCGATCAATTTATTGCTTACAATTAATTCTACAAGAAATACCTTTTCAAATAGTTCAAAACAATTTTTTAAAAAAAGCGATAGGGGTGCCCAACTGTTCTATTTTTTCATAAATTAATAGAAAATTGAAAAATTTGAAGTTTACTAAATGAATAATTCATATATGCTTAAGAGGAGAGATGTATGATAGTATAAAAACTTCATTTGTTTCAAAAATTAAGAAGGTTGGAAAATGTATATGTTTCTAGCATTTATATATATGTTTCTAGCACGTAGGCGCCCATTCTCAAGAATCACCAGACATCACATATAGAAAAAATTTCTCGTCTGGTGAGTCTTGAGAATGGGAGTCACTATTTGAGAGCTCGATGCATGTCAACTATTATCACCTTTATATTTTTTTAAGCAAATTAAGTTTTATATTATCAAGTATTACAGAAATGTGATTAATTTTTCATTGTTTTAAAAATTCTCAATTGGAACAAAGTAGCGCTTTATATGAGTTATTATTCTGCACCTGACACGAGTTAACAATGCGGTGGTATCAAAAATGACTCGAAATCAAACTTACTAAAGCAAGAATTATACACGGAAAACTGTCTTGCAACCACTAGAGAAATTCTGTCCATTAAATAGAGCGAGTTAGAATCCCTGTGGCATTAGTACTAAAATCAAAATTCATTTTCATAAACAATTATATGAATAGGGTAAACCAACCAGTGAAGGAACACTACCCAGTGAAGGAACATTTCATATATATTCATTAAAAATAAGAATTTGAAAGTTTTTCTTTAGATTGATTGGTAACAATAGCTTACTGCCAAACAATAGGAAGTCATCTAGCAATATTTTGGATTACCTGGTCAAATAGACTTCTCTGAAAAAATTTTTGAATTTGTTATTATCTCTGCAACACCTTGTTTCGTTGAAAAAATTATAAGGTGAGTGTTTGTATTTATATGTTTGAAGTGGAATTAATTGCATGTAATAGTTTTATTTTTCTCACTGTGAAAAAGAGAATTCAAAATATAGTTATTGAAGTTACGTTTTATTTTTTTTAAAGCACCATAGCATAATCAAGTACTGAGATAAGGGGGTGTTTATTCACTGGATCACCAAACGATGAAAAACCAGTGAAGGAACAAGTGTTCCTTTACTGGGTTTTTTTCTAAGTTAATGAAAATAAAAGATAAACTTTAATTTTCTTGTACCTTTAGTGATGTTCCGCATCAAAAGTATGTTAAAAATACGAAAAACAACTTCTAACCAGTGAGGGAACAGGCATGTTCCTTTACTGGGCATAGATTTCCCAGTGAATGAACAGTATGTGTTAATATGTTGACACTTTAATTTTCAATTCATGATTACAAAAAAAAGTTAACATTTTCCAAGTATTTATATGTTATAATTTCAAGAATAGGCTTGTTTTTAAATATTTGTATGGCTTATAAATTCATAAAGAGCATTAAAAAATAACCAAAATTAAGTGTTCCTTTACTGGGTGTTCATTCACTAGTAAGAGCTGTTCCTTCTACTTACTACTTGTTATTTGATATAACCTCCAAAACTTTAAAACAATATTATGTAAGTTCTCTACAATTTTTTTACATAATTTGCAATTAGTAACAAATATGTTGACACTGTCATTGATCTAAAATTACGAATTTTGAAATTAATGTGATTTTTTTTAAAGGTAAGCAAAGCTTAAGTGTTCCTTCACTGGTTAGTCTACCTTCAAGGTTTAGCATGAAATAAGCATAAATAATCTAGAGATTTTCCATAATTTAAAGAAGTAAATTTGAAAAATTAACATTTTTCTTATAGAAGATATGTTACGATAACAAAATATCTATAGAACAAAATTGCAATTTTAATGAGCAATTTTAAAGTGTCGAAATAAGGAAAAAAATTAAGTTCCAAAGGGTGGAATTAAATATCTTCAGATCATCTTAATTTCAAAAACATTAAAAACAACGATTTAAAAATATTAAAATACTAATTGAAGCTATTACGAATAAAATTGAGATTTTATTTCTAAACTCTTTATTTTGAAAGTATAATTACAGTTTTGGAAATATTTTAATAAAATTTCTGATTTAATTTTCGGCATAAAATATATTTATTCCTTACATTTGAAAATCAGACTTTGTGGAATACATAACTATAAAAAAACTCGAAATATATATTTTCATGCTCTTACAATATCTAAATACAAGACAAGTTATTTTATCCTTACCCTTCACACGCCATCAAAAAAGTTTTGCTTTTGCTTAAAAAACACAAATTTTAAGATTTACATAAATAAAATTCATCACAAGATAAAGGAAGAAATTAAAGCAATAAACTTAATCAGATTAAAAGATAACTTACTCTCTGGAATTCATTGTGGCTTCTTAGCCTAGGCTAATTGAGGTTCCTGGGTCAATCCAGACCCTTAATCCTCGATAATAACAAATAGAAGATAGCATGACACAAAAAATAGTTTACCATAACAATGGTGCAAGGATTAATAATAGGGTAATATAATAAGATACATGAAATTTTATGCTTGATAGCATAAAAATGAATTAGGTAGCTGAAAATAGGTGAGAGAGAGAGAAAAATGTTTAAACAGAAGTTTAAATAACAGAAAACATGTATTACTCTCTCGAAGTTACACAAATCGAAGTAATAAAAAATACTTTATCAAATTTGTAACTAAAATTAACTTATGTGGCACAGCAGGAGAAAAAAAGAAATGTTTTAAAGTCATCAAAATTAAACGTAATGCAAATGAAGCTCTGTTGCAAAAATTTTATTGGCTGAAAGCTTGTGTCGTTAAACAACGGTCATCAACACAAAAGTTCAATCCCCTTTTTGATTTCCCCCCTTCGTTGGAACATGAAAGATGACGATTTTGAAAAATCTTCTATTGCGAATTTTTATCTTTTTTTATATCTCGCCAAATCCAACCTTTTAAAGCGACTGTTTGCAGCTATAGGAAATGCTAAAAACGTTTCATTTTATTGTTTAGTTTTCTACATTTGACTTTTATCGCATTGAGTTATTGCGGTGATTTGATAAAATTAAACTGTAAAAATGTTTTAAAAATCTCAGAATAATTTGTATTTATCTTTCTTTTTTTTTCTTCCTAGGTTACGCTTCTTAGTATTTGTTCAAATAATAGAAGTTAACGTTCACATTAATACGCTAAAATGCATCTACAAATATTTGACATTCATTTAATTTACACAACGTATTACTTACCCAAAATTGTTTTATATTTATCTATATTTATATGATATTACAAGGTTCTTCAGAAACAAACAATTTTATACGAATGGAAATTCTATAGATTCTGCTTTATAACGTTCTCAAACTTGAAAATTTTTTTAATATGAACCAAGCTTCGACTTCTTGAAACATTAATTACTAACAATTATTTTTATTCATTAACATTCATTTTGTAAAACTACGCTACTGCCGATTTTTACAACATTTAAAATTAAACTTTAGCACTTAATTAACCTTAATTTAAAATTAAACTTTAGCAAAATTAAGAAATATGTGCTAGTTTATTACTATGTATAACATTTCAATTATTTTAATATATTTAACATTATCCTAGATAGCAAAAAAGTACAAAATCCTAGCAAAAAAAAAAAAGGATA